CTCTCTGAGACAATGAATGAGTCATAGAATTGACACTCAGCTTTGGCAGCTCTCCAGAAGCAGATGTAATAAACTTGCATACATCAGAGATCCAGCTCCCTTCTTTGCCACATTCATTGTAACATGGTTTGCCCTATTACTGGGATATGGTGCCAGGGTACCCTTACTACCATAACCATCGCAGTGGGCTATTATGATGGTTTGAGTAACCCTATAAAAAAGTTGGGTATTATCCATTAAGAAATGATTTGTGATTAGCTAGGGCCCAATATATAAACTTTTGAGCAAAATCTTTGAGTTGGTAACAAAGATTGGTCTGAACCAGAGATTGATTCAACCTAGATTTTACAGATTGGTTCTTGACCCAATATAGCACACTATATAATGGACAGACCCCATTGTGTTTGATCCCACACACATTTTGTTGAACATGTGCCTTGGCAATGCGATAGTAAACCTTTGTCACCTTTGGGAAAGACATCTTCTTAGTTCGGTATTCTTAGGTTATGTGATGGAAGTTTTGTTCATTATCAGTTACCAGAGGTCTGAACAGATTCTATCATTGCTTGCAGGGGATGAAATATCAGATTTGAACATATCTATAATGTCCAATTCAGTGTTGTGTCTACATATTACATACATACCTGAGGATATATATCTTTGTCCTTGCAACAAAGTTCCTCCTACAAAAAAACAGTTAATGAGATACATGTTACTGTGATATTATTTATTATTTTAGAGAGTCTTATAGAGATACCTGGATGCTGATGCATATATGTTAACTGAAAGACTAGAACCTCAAACAGAGTTATGAAACTTAAAAAGGTGCAATTCCGACTTTGGAGAATAAACCCTGATAATCTGGGAAAGTCTCTTGTCACATGACTCAGAAATCCATTCATTTTGCAATATGGAAAAATGCCCACGTCACTAATTACCATGCAATTCTAATGAATCCATTAAATCAGTGACTGTTTTATTAGTAGCTAGTCATCAAATCATGTTAACATAATCAGTCTGTTTAAACACAATCTGTTCATGCTGATGATGACCTTGGAGTTAAGATTCCTAAATATTTGTTGCCAAGATGATCTTGTGCTGACTCATCATCAACTACATTCTATTTAATTTAAATATTATGAAAAAGTGATTTCGGACTAGAGGCAGGTTTATAGTAAATCAAAGGAAAGGGCCGCAAAAGTAAATTTTGTTATCCCAAAACAGATATAATATGCAAGAAGAGATGCCTCATATTATTCTGTACACTTGTATGCAAATCCAACATCTAGGTAAGTTTCTGAACTATTTAAATTAGTTGTATTATTTTATTACATTACCATTTGTTTTGTTCTCTAGCAGTGCATGGGGACATAGTGGAAAGGACCCCATGATTGGTAGGTAAGAACTTTAATACAATAAATGAAGGAGAGACCTATTGTCTGCCCCAGTCCCACCTACTGATGGCAGGGAGGGCTGTAATATTATATAGTGGAGACGAGGGTTCTTTTGTCCTCCTCCGCATCCTACCCATTGGCAGTGGGTGGGGGCTAATAAAAAATGCTGTCCATTCCACAGCAAACTTTTGGCCTTTGGTGGCTAGGGGTCAATAAGCCCCTAGTCAATCCCCAATAAATACAGTTACCCATCTACCATCCCTCACCCTAATAATAGTAAGAGAGGGCAATGAACTAAATACCGGTAAAATAAAATTTATACTTACCATCAGATAACATCTATCTTCTTAAAAGATCTTGTTTTCAGCCTAACAAACGAAAAATAAAATATAATGTCCCATGGGATCTATTATAATAAAAAAAACAGGACTGGATTGCAAAAAATAATAAAAGAACCAAAGCCAATTGATGGAATGGTCCCAAAAGCTGAGAGAATTGCATGGCACCAACTAACTTGCTCCTACCGCACACAATAGAGAGGACATTTTAATGATACAAGCAAAAATCTCAGAGGCCAATTTAAAGTGCATCAGTTTTTACCTGAAAAGATTGAAAAAGTCCCATTACTCACAGGGGAATAGGGCGGGGAAAATTCTGGCAGCGAAACTTAAAGACCAACAAGCATAAACCAGAATCCAATATATAATTTTGTGCAAAAAAGAGGGACTGATCATCCCATCAGCTATTAGCAATGAGTTTGTGTCATTCTACAGCGACCTCTATAACCTAACTAAAGATAATACCCAAAACCAGGCCACTATGGCAGAAGCATCTTAGTACCTGGTCTCAATCGAGACCTCTGCTCTTTCACAGAGTCAAAATTATGATTTGGCAGACCACATTGCTATAGACAGCCTTCCACCTCACAAAGCACCAGGTCTGGATGGCCTAACAAATATATACTATAAAAAATTTAAGGGAGAGCTTGCTCCCTACCTGCTCAGGTTGTTTACCGAGGATATTCAACACTCGAAATTAACCCGAGATATAATATCAGCCAAAGTGGTGACCATTCCTAAACCTGGGAAAGCCCCTTTATACTGCAAACATTTAAGACCTATTTCCCTTAACTCAGATGCCTAGCTATTTACAAAGATCCTGGCCAACCGTATGAAGTTGGTATTCCTTGAGTTAATCCACCCTCGTCAAACTGGGTTTTTGAAGGGCAGAGAGGTAACGGACAACACAAGGAGGGTGTGTTGGACATTGAGCACTTGATGACTAAGGAGGGCGCTGGGAGGCTCGTGCTTTCTCTCGATGCGGAGAAATCTTTGACCGCCTCAGTGGAAATTTCTTGGAGGCGATATTGCGGAAATTTAACCTTACTGGAAGCTTAACTTGCATTGACTGGAGGACTCTACAACAACCCCACAGTGAAAGTGACGTAAGGAGGCTTCTTGTCAGAACCATTCGCTATCAATAACGGCACTCACCAAGGGTGCCCACTTTCAACCTGTGACAAACTCTCCTTCCCATGTTTGCCATGGAGGAGTGTAGAAGCCGGCCTCCTGCCCACCGGCTATGGTCCAGGACTGGGACACCATTTGGGAGTTACTCTGTCCAGCCGCCATTAATAGCTTTCCCTGGGTGCACCTGGTTCGGCACTTTCACTTTATGCGAATAGAACCGAATGCTGGCTCTCTGGCGGCCGTTTGCATGAACCAAACCCACAAATAGTCCCAGCGGTACTTAACCGCGACTGCTATGGAACTAAATTCAGCATGAGGACTTTGTGGGTTCCCGGTCACCTCAGCGAGACTTAGCTGAGAATGTTAAAATAACTGTTTTCGGCATGAGATGACAGTGTGGTTCCTGGACAACTTGTTTCACGGTTTAGAACCACTTTGAAATCTGCCAGAAGAGCACTTTTTGGAGGAAAGTTGCCTGAGACTAAGGGGAACAAACACTACCTAAGAGCCAGGTGGAGCACCCCATATTGCAGCCACAGGAGCTTCTGAAAGTTGACTGGCAAAAGCACCAAACGCCCTGGAACTATTTTAGGCATAACACCACGTTTGCGGCCTGGTCAGAACTTTTATGGTGTTTCCCCTACACTGCATGGATCTGAGTGCTATTTGGAGAACCTGGGTGCTCAGATCAGGAATATTTAACAATATATTATTTGTGGGGTTATTTTATGCTTTTTTTATGTGTTGGAGTATTTTTATGTTTTATATTTTTTTGTTTGCCTCTTTAACGCAATTATCCGGTCTTTAATGCAATTATCTCATAGGCCCAGAGATTTCTGGGAGGGGCTTGTGGTGAAGTCAATGGAGATCCCCTGCTGCGGTCTGTGTATAAAAAGGCTGTATTTGGATGCATTAAAGCAGTTGTGCTCCCAGAACTATGTGTCATCTAGTTACTGGGAGGGGAAGGGCTATAATCACTGCTTAGCACCTTGTTCCAGCTTGTGTAGGATTCAGCAGGGAAAGTCCTTGTAAGGACTAGAGCTCCCAGGACTGTGTGTCATCCAGTCCCTGGAAGGGCATAGAGATAGTCCCCTATCCTGTTCTAGGATGAAGAGGCTCCAGGAGGGCCCCAGTCAAACCACGGTGACTGGGGCAGAAGTGCTGAGGTTTTCCCCTGTTCCATCTAGAAAGCGGTCCATGGCCGAGGTACCCAGCCGGGTTACAGGGTGCTACTCTGCACACCCCTTCTTTATGTTTAGCTATGCATATTAGGAAAAACACTGATATCTTGGGGGTCAAGATAGGGAACCTGACTTATAAATTGAGTATATTCGCAGAATACCTATTGAGTGTGCAAAGGGACATAAGTAGATTAATTGCAGGTTGGCGCAAAACGTGCATCCTTAGCAATACTCCGGTATGGAAGGTTGCGGATAGTGGATTGGGCAACCCTGACTGCAAAATGTACTATCATGCTACCCTGATGCATATATGTTAACTGAAAGAATAGAACCTCAAACAGAGTTATGAAACTTTAAAAGGTGCAATTCTGACTTTGGAGAATAAACCCTGATAATCTGGGAAAGTCTCTTGTCACATGACTCAGCACACAGGACAACCCTCTCCCCCAATGGGTTAACATAGAGTTGCATTGGTCAATCCCTGATGGTGTACACACACTACTCTGGCTACCAAGGGCCACTAGGCTTCGCACACCTAATATGCTACACGTCACAATAGCAATGATCAAGTCATACATTTAGAGATAAATTTAGAAAAAGTTTTACACATGGTCCCCAGTGTCACTAGCTACCCCTATTGTATGATTCAAATATCTAATCCTCGTGTTCAACATTAGGGTTTGGGAAGGCAGGGGAATAACAGGTCTACACCAGCTGTAGTTAATGGATCACCTGACACCCTTTCCAAAGCTGAGAACAAAGCATGATCTACCGCTCTCTATGTTTTTGTCATATTTCCAGCTGCGGTCGTTACTGCAGGGTCTAAAACAGTCCCGTTCCTCCAAAACCAAGACTATAGGGATGTCCTCAGAAAAATGTGTGCTAACCTGATTCCAAAACAGAAAGTTATTTCCATATGTTATGATACTCTAATATTTGATTTGTCGAACATTTTGATGACATACTCTAGAGAATGGGAGAAAGAGCTGGGTCACAAGATTCCTCAGCAACGTTGGAAACCAGCGTTCAATGCTCATAAGAAAAACACACACTGCGCATCTCATCGAGAACTTATTAGGAAGATTATGACCACATGGTACTTGGTGCCAGCGCTGCTGGCCCACATGTTTAGTACATCTACCAACAGGTGCTGGAGGTGCAGTGTAGAGAGGGGAACCCTGCTTCACGTTTGAAGGGAATGTTCGGTGATCAAACCATACTGGGACATGGTGGCAGAGAGAATTTCTAAGGAATTGGACAAACTGGATCAGGCAGCAGCAGACATTTTCCTGCTGATCATGCTCCCGGACTCACCAAACACCAAAGGCTACTCTCATTCCATGTACGGAGAGCAGCAAATCTCACGAATGCTAGGGGTTGGAAATCACCAGCACCACCTAAGAGAGAACAAATAATGCGCCAGGTGTCCCTCAACAGAACGTATAAAAAGATGGCTTACATGAGCTCAGATAGACATCACAAATCGATAGAGGCCTGGAAACATTGGACAAGCGAGGTTTGAGCCTCATTGACTCAGACATATCATACACTCAGTATTTTATAATAAATTTAAATAAAACAGAAAAAAAAGAGAATTTATATATTTCAATACCTTCTCCTGGCAAAACAAAGCTGGTTTAGTACTTCTCCGCTGCATGACAAAAGTGTTTGTGTCTTTGATGCGCTCCGATCTCCTATTGTAATGGGGGAAATGGTTATGCAGGCAAAGACCAGTTAGCATCAGTTTAGGCAGGCTAAAGGATCTCGACCCCCTGTGATAGTACAATGTCCAGTTCATTGTTTCTCTCCTCTTCCTCCCTTTCCTATTCACATTTGGCTATCTTTCCACTCTTCTCTCTCAGTTTCTCCTTTCTCATCCTCTCATCTTCCGATGCTTCATCGAAAATTTGGATGTCTTGGTGTTGCAAAATGCTAATGTAGGGAAAAGAGATACAAGACAGCAAATTCCTAGGTAAAAGGGGTAAACTGTAACCGTACTTGTTATTGGACATGTATGTGTTAAAAGACCGACGTCGAGCAATATTTCTGCATATGTGTTACCTAGGTAAATGTTGTCAGAATTACAGAATGATCCAGCACGTAGAATTTTGTAACACAGAGGACTGATGGGTAACATATACCGGACCTTACAATAGCCGGACTAACGTACCAAAGAATAGTCAGGAATAGCTGAGGTCAAGGGTAACAGAAAGAGACACAACGATAAGGAAAAGCCAGGAGTCAGGGATGCCAGAAAACAGGGAAGTCAAAAACAATGCCAAAGTAAAAATAACCAGAATTACCAGAATCAATAATGCGCTCTCGGACAACCACAAGGGAAACACGACAGGGCACTGAGCAGGATGAGAACTGGGCCTAAATACCCCTCCTCTAGATCTGATAGGCTGTAACCGGCCTTTGACCCCAAAGGCAGTTACCAGGTTCCCATTTGCATAATTGCTGCTCAGCATTAACCCTTCTGTGGATTTGGTTGCTGCTCGGCACAACTTTTCCTCTGTGGACAGCAAATGCCATTAACCACATTTTTATAAGCGGATGAATACGTGATAAATGTCTCCGATATGTCACGAATTGTGACGGTACACGGGGTGGGGATTTGCCACCCGGCGTACTTACATTGTCATTGTCTATATTCCCTAAGAGGTAAATGTTACATCCAATACAATTAATAAAAGAAATAAAGAATTTCAAAAAATAAGAAAAACACAAAACGCACCACAATAAGAATAATCCATCTTCACCCTGTGAGTGTTTGGCACAGATTGAGCTTGCATAGCTGGAACAGTCCTGTGTAAGAAATTTCCCACACTATGCAAGAAATAAGTAGTAAGATCAGTCTGACTGGTTAGTGTGGTGAAACTGACCTCGCCACTGGGCATTGGAGAAGACTGATTGCCAGCCTCCTGCCATGTGACTATGACCCCTAGGATGTATTGCCCTTTAAAGACATTATTTGGGTTTATTGGATTTTGAAACACTTTTTCTGCCCCTCTGAATACATGAGAAGGTGTGCCCTTCCCCCGTTTCCTGTCTATTGTTCTCCCGCAGGGCGTTGTCACAGGGAAACTGCCAGACCAGTTGGAACTTGTTGCTATGGTTTAAACCCATGGCGATTTGACTGTTTGTGGTATCTGTGCGCTGTTCAGATATAGTGAGTGCTCAGATCCAAGCTATCTGGGTATAGGTTGAATGTGGGGTGTGACGAAGTGCCCTTCGCCACTTGTGCCTGGAGGGGACTACTGGCTAGCCTCCTGCCTTCCGACTATGGCCCCTGTGCTGATAGCTGTATTTTACCCTGCAATAAGGTTTATTTGGGTATTTCTGCCGGGTTGTTCGGGACTTTCAGTATGTGAGTAGTGCTACCATGGAGCCAATTCATGTAACGAAAGACTATGGAAAAGACTTTGGCTCCATGGCAATTGAATTGTATGTATGTGATCTGAGCGCCAGTCAATAATAATCTGCACTCAGATCTAAGCTATCTGGGGATATGTTGCATGTATATGTTTTATGTAGTAATTGTAACATTGTGTAATTTTATGTCTTTTTGTAACCATGTGGTTAATGGAGTCTTGCCTCTGTCCTGGGAGATAATTTGATTACTTCACAATTATCTCCAGGATAGAGAGGAGGGATTGTGATGTCACTGTGGCAGTGTTTTGTTTGTATTGTCTGTGATTGGCTGATATCCAATATGTGTCCCATTGTTCCATCAGGTCCTCTAGGGGAGTGTCCACCTGGTGGACACTTGCATAAATACCAGGCAGGTAGCCCTCAATAAACCAGACCTACTTGAACCTTTCATGAAGCCTTGGCTCATGCTTGGGTGATGGGATAACTACACTCTGGGGATTGCTATAATCATATACTCCACAGAGTCAGCTCTTGCAAGAGCTTGTTTTGTTCCTGGTTCCTGCTCTCTGGATTTAGGAGAGGTTCACCCACTGGAAGCTGGATCCTGGCCTTGGATCCAGGGTGGGTGAGAGACGGCGAGACCCCGGCGCAGCTGCATTGCTGGAAGTGGGGTCTGCAGTGCTGATGGTGTCGGTTGGAGTGCTCGGAGTCCTCGGCAAGCACTAGGAGCATCGATTGGCGGAGGTACTCAGTCTGAGTGCCAGCATTCCGTCACATGGGGGTTCTGTTAAGTATAATAGGAATTATGTATTTTTATGTGTTTTTACTGTTGTTGTGAATAGAGCTATTTTCTGTATCCTGGAGGTAATTGGCTTACCACATCCAAGCCATGCTTGCAGTCGGTCACAAAGGGATTTCCAACTAACTTTTGAACCACTGGACCAATTTGTATGATTATGTGAATGTGATGTATACTTTTAGAGTTATGAATATTGTGTAAAACTGTGTATTTTCCTGCCTGTGATAATTACATTAGACCATTGTGTTCAGTAATTATATCACAGGCAGAGGGGAGGATTTTGTGTGGGAGTGTCTGAAGTGTATTGTACATATTGATGGGTTGTTCTGCAAAACCCTGTGGGCAGTACTATGTTTGTAGAATGTGAATAAAAGAGGCTGTATGTGCCAGTACAGTCAGTTCTACTTCACCCTCAATTTGGAGTGCCGTCTCTTATTGGGGGAATCTGCTGCAAGGAATTGCTATGCTCTGCATACTCCATTAGCTAATCACTACTAAGCTCTTTTAAGAGCTTGTGCCTGCTTCACTCTCTTGAAGGAGAGGTTCAACCACTGGAGCCTTGTCGTAGGTCCAGGGTGGGTAGGCGACGGCGAGACCCCAAACAAGCTGCGGTGGTTCGTGGGGTCTATGGTGGTTGTGGTGTCTGGCAGAGCACTTGGAGCTGCCTTTAACGGAGGTACCTAGTCGGGGTGCCAGGTGATCCGTTACAGTTGGCTTCTAAGTGGGGGCAAAAATTGATCTTTATTTTAATAGTGGCAACAGAACCTCTAGCCACCTGAACCACTAGTTTCCTGGGAGCTGGACATACTTTTAGCCCTTACCTTGGCCAGTGAGTGGGGCTGTGAAGGTGACATTAGGGTACCCATTTATCCTCACCTTCTGGCTAATAGTGGGGACATGGGGAGACACTATGTCCCTCTGCTTCATCATTGTTTTAATTGGCAAACTGGGGATGCAAAGATTAGTGACTGGGCAGCAATAGCTCCACAGGCACTAGTTTTTATGACAGTGAGCAGCCACTGGCTGCTCCCTGTTTATTAGTCAAGCCCCTACCTGTAACATGGCAGATGCAGGTTGGAACACCCTAACTGGACTCCCAAGGCCTAACTTAATTATTCCCTATCTATAGGATTGGGTGAGTGGAGGCATGGGGTGATTTATGAACAGTGTGGAGCAATCAGCAAAGTTCACCTCTTATACTTTTAAATAATAATAACATTTCAATTTCAAGGCCCGTAGGTCCCTCTTTGTAATTAATGAAATGAGCAACCAAATTACATGAACAACCTTTCAGCCAACAAGCAATTTGGTGTGCATGATATGTATAAAAAAACGTATCAACCTCAACTGGAAGACTTTTGTGCCAATGACATCCAACTATAAAGCCTGTAAATAATGTTCATAATGTTCAGTCCAAGTTGAAATATCTACACTGACAGAACCAGCTGAGTACGTGTGGAGACAGATGATAACATTAAACAGCTGACTATTTATGCTTAATGTAAAAGTGCAATAATTTAAGGGAAGCTCAAAACAGGAAATTGCTAATCTCATTAGAACCTTATCATGCTCAAACCTGTATTTTCTGGAATACTCCCTAAAACACAAAATAATTTGAAAGGCATGCTGTATGCATTTGCTGGAGGTACATGAACTAGTGCAAACTGAAATTTTTCTGAATAAAGTGCTTGTTCTTGTGAAATCTTACATGAAATGCTTGTAAAAGCAATGCCTGAAAAGCATATTGATTTGCAGACCATATGACGCCTATTGCAAACCCTTAAAAGCTGCATTTGCTAACATAAAATGGCATTTGTTTTCTAAACACTAATACTAACTGCCTATTCAGCATAAGCATTTTTATTCGGAAGCATTTTACACTTTAGACTGCTTACAACACGTGTTGGGAGCATGTGTGGCACAAACATTTAGAACAAGTTAACAAGGTATGTAGTTCACCTAACAATGCAAGTGTGATTGTATGCTAGACCATAGCAATCCTTAATAATGATTAATAGCATCACAAGATATTTTTCTGTGCTACAGTCGATAAATGTAAATGGTGCCAAGTCTGCATTGCTGCAGCTCACAAGAAGGAGTGGTGCCAGACTTTTTTTCCCACTAGACATGTGCACCAGTGAAATTTTCGTTTCATGTGAATGAAGTTGTATTAAATAAAAATTGAATTTGCCTATTCTGAATTTCGGCAATAAAACATTCATTTTACGGATGAAATTTGGT